TCATACATATATTAATAATTAAATTAATTTTCATTAACTTCTTTATTCTCCTGAGGCATGTGTTGAGATTTTATTATGTTAAATATTTATGAACATTAAATGATTAAGTATGTTTTAAGTTAGTTTAAAGTTAATAAAATTATAAATAAGTATATATATATAAGAATTATTAATTTTGGTATTTTGTTTGTTTTGTAGGCAAATCTCATTAAAGTAAAAAAATTCAAGTTTGGTACGTTCCCTAAACCAACATTAATTGCCTTGAGATGCTTATTTTAAATGCGCTTAGCTAAAAGTTTAGACGTAGATGGTAAAAATAAATATCAATGATTTAGTTATAATTTATTCTATTATGAGTGAGATAGTATGGAATTTTTATTTAGTGATTGTAATTATAAAAAGTGAATTTTTTAATTAAGTAATACATTATTGTTAAATTTTATAATGATAGAATGAAATTAATTTAATTATATTTTTTTAAATGTTAATGTAACTGAGGAATATATATTCATAATATTAATAGAGAAAATTTATAAATTTATATATTTTTTTCAAAGCAAAACCTTATCAGCAACATACCACTTGTAAGTAAAATATTTTCAAAATGGTAAATTTTAGCATCACTGACGTGGAACAACTTGCTAATTAGCATGAGGCATGCATGCTTGTACTTACAAGATTATCAGTAACAAGAAACATGTAAACTGACAAGATAATCAGTAACAAGAAACTTGTTGCTGAAAGTAAGATGCTCTACTATTTACAAAAGAATCAGCAAAAAGAGATATGTTGTTGAAAATGGGGTGGACTTTACTATTCATGGGGTTATCAATAACAAGGAACTTGTTGTTGAAAGTATGATACTAAATTATCAGCAACAAGGGACATATTACTGAAAAGGGTGCCACAATTTTGGTCACTGGTTCCGACGACTATTTTTAGCAACATAAGCTACATCAGTGAAACCAAACTTTCACTGACGTGGTTTATGTTGTTAAAAAGGGTGCAAAATTCAGGTGGTCAGCTCTGGTGACTTTTTTAGCAACATGAGTCATGTTGGTAAAACTCCACTTTCAGCAACAATGAATATGTTGCTGAAAAAGGGGTCATGAATCAATAATGTGAAACTTGTTGCTGATGTATTATCCACCAAAGCTTTTCCAACAAAGACATCAACAACATGGTTCTTGTTGCTGAAAGTACTTCAGCAAAATGAGCACCATTTTCAGCAACATGGTATCATGTTGCTGAAAAGATGAATTTTACTAGGGCAAAAGTTTAATGTGGTTATGGTGCGTGGTTGAAAATGGAAACATAAGAGCTTTGGAGTCCTCCAGTGTATGCTAATAAAGAGGATTCCACCCATATTCCCTATCCTAGCTGAACACAGGAAGAGCATATCCATATAAACCCTATGCTAGCATTGTTAGAGAAATTGCAGAAGGAAGGAGGTTTGATGAAGGAGGCTAGTCTTGAAACAACAAGTAGGGGCCAGAATTCAATGTATGAGCTTGAGGGTTTTGAGCTATCTAATGTTAACTATGCCTTGGATAAAAATTTGGCAAACATTCCCTTGGAAAGTTTACTATTTGAAGAAGAAGAAGTTTAGTCTCAACAAAGGCAGATGGAAGAGATTAGATAAAAGTCTCTCCCATCCTCCTAGCAAAAAGATGGAGGCTAAGTGCAAGTGTAAAGGAAGGAAGCTTGAAGGGGGAACTTGCTTCTAACCTATTATTGGATAACAAAGGTATTAAAATAGTCTTTCCAAAATATGACAACAACCCTAATTAGTCTTAGTTAGGCCTTTTATGGGATAATGACTATTGTTGGCCTACAACTTTAAACTCCTTTGAAGCTGTCAAGACAAAGGGGTGAGCTAATAGCTAAAGATGCTCATTAGGTGGCCTTACTACTTTTGTTACTTTGTTAATGTTGTATATAGTGATCGGTTTCGTAACGTGTCAAGATGAAGTGGTGATACTACATGAGGGATGATATCAATTCTCGATGTTTAGCATGGTGGGGATATTAACTCTTTATGAGGTGGAATAGCAATAATCATATGATTAATTGAAGGAATTACATTGGTCACTCACATGAATTGGAAGAGTTTAATGATAAATGGTTTGCTATGACACAAGGAAAGAGAGATTCAACTTCAAGGGAGAGTTCTTAGTTTGATGGGGACTAGTTGAGGAATTCAAGTCAAGGAGAAGATTGTTGGGATTGTGCCTTGAATTCAATTGAAGAATTGAAGTTTTCATTAGAAGTGAAAAATTAGTAGATTATTGCAAGGATTTTGAATTGATAGCTAGGTTTCGGAGCCTTAAGCCAAAAGGTCAGTGTTTCTTTATGGCAAGAAAGTGATAACCCATGAGTGATTTTCTTTCCTTTTATCGACTTTAATTTTGAGTGTAATTAAGATTTTTACTTCAACACAAACTCCAATAGTTGTAAATTAATATAAACACATGTTATTAGCAACCGTAAAATTATGTGTGTGGACCATTGAGTGGAATGGTGTGATTATAACCCACCCTTACATGGTAATGAGAGAGAGTGCTTCCACTCTCTTCGGGAATCAAGATTGTGAGATTTTTCTATCCAATTAGAATAGTGTTGAGAATGGTGTTTAGGTAGTTTCATGAGCTCATGCACTATTGAGATCTTGAACTGCTTTAATACCTAAAAATTCCAAGGAAATATCTTTGAAGAAGATACTCTAATGCTTAAGTTAGCAATATTTATTTACTCTAGAGAGAAAAGCTCTCAAAACTGAATATTGTAGAAAGAAAAGTGTGGTGAACTTATTATCTTCAATGGAGGTAGATAATGGGTATTTATAACCCTCATTTATAATACCAACCTTGCATGTCATTGTTCAGTTGATCCACGTTGCATTGATCATGTGGGTGAATCATCCTTGCTCATCTCTGCTTTTGGGTTTTTTATTGGGCTTTTGCCCAATGTTGGGCCAACTCCCAAACAAATGGTTTTTTGAGAGCCTTTTAAAGATTATTGAGAGCTTCTAGGGGTGGGAGAAAAAATATAAGATTAAAAGAGAGTTCTTGAGTGAAATTAGGATTTCCTAGGAAAAATTGAAATTGAGCTTCTAATATTATAATTTTCTTAATAATAGACTTTTATCTTCTTCTCAGTGGTTTCCTCTTCACCTAAGAAGTTTTTCACATTAAAGTGAGTGATCTTCTTCCTTATTATTTTGTTTAATTATTTGATCTACTTGCATAATTTTTTGATGATATTTTTTATCAATTAGTCTTGACATGAGTCAAATTCCTAACCAGTGCTATTGGAGCTTAAAGAGGGGATTTAATTCCCAACAATATGTACCCTCTTTTTTTTTTTTTTTTTTTTTTTTTTCTGTACATAATGAAAATACAACATGTACCCTCTTTACATTTTAATTTAAGTCTACCCACCAAATAAAATAAGATTCCATAAGGCACATGACTATAATGATGAATGCCGAAGGATCTTCAACAGGAGCAAATGATTATTTATGTATGCATATGGTAGGAAACAGAACCCCACAATTTCTTGTGCAGAAAGCCTACACTTTATACAGAAGGCAATTATGCACTACCCATCTAGATTATTCAATTCTAGAGCAAAAAATTGAAGTTATTAGTTTATTTGAGAATCCTAGGTGGTGGCGGCGGTGGTTGTCATTGAGGACCCGATGTAGCGTGCGGCCAGGTTGCCAGACTTTGCATTGCTTTTGAGTTATGCTCATAACTATGGTCCTTTTTGTAGTTATTTTTTTTTTTAATGGGAAATTATGAGAGATGAGAATTTTTTTCAAGTTCGTTGGTAATAATTGAACTCTCAACTAATGAAATCCTATTAATGAATCATTGAATCCAAAAACTTCATTCCTTATTTATAGGTTCTTATTTGAACCGGATATATTTAATTAATCTCATTATTTCTTTTGTGAATGGAAAAATTACTATTTTATTGTAAAAAGTAAAGGAGTATTGCAACTTACGTTAGGATTGCCAAATATAAAATGAACCCCCCCCCCCTCTTCCCTTATTTCAATGCAGCATGCCCATATCAGACCAATTATGTAGGCACGCAGTTCTTTGTGCCCACCACTACTGCACCTGTACCAGCAGAATTAAGACACTGAATAGGATTTAAAAATACCACTCCCTCATTTTAATATCCCCTACTTCTAATATTTTTCACCCCATAAAATGACCTAACTTGATTTGTTTCAAAAAACTTTTCCTCACTCAACTGGATCCCTTTAAACTCCATTTCATTCCTTGCTAACCCCACAGTCCAAATAATGACCAACCAAAACAACTCTCATGTGCCTTCTTTACATTCTCCGATTCCCTATCCAACAATGTAGTTCGAAATCATCATAACAATCCCTTGGCATCACATGTAATTTTCCCCACCACTCAGCATCTCATAGCATCTCATCCAAATGCAATATGCAAACTTGCAACTCAAAAGCAAATGACAGTCATATGGTTTCATATTTTAATGTTCCAATCTACATCTTTAAATAAATTGGCTTTTAGTTGGTACAATGTTTTGGATTAGTTGCCACGTGAAAGCACAAGCTTTAGATGTCATTATTGGTGGTTCCCTTTCAACATGTAAGGATTAGTTTTTGGTAGGCTACACGACAAGAGGGAAATCCCTTCATTTCCCTTTTTCTATTCCACATTTCCACCTAATACCCTATTACATATTCGAGATTCTTCATGCCCAAGATGTGCAAATATTTGAACCGAACCCCATAATCGGTTAAAATGGGTAAATTTAATATTGAAAAAATAACCAAAAAAAAAAGAAAAGAAGAAGAGAGTTTTATATAAGAATAGTCATTCAATTTACAATTAATTAATTTTAAATTAAATATAAATTTTACATTTTAACTCACATACTAAATTTTTGCTCTATCTCATAAAGAGTGAAAATTATTTTAAAATCTAGATTTGAATACACAATACTGAGCCTTTACAAACCATAACCTGATTTTCATATCTACATGACCTTGCTTTCTTGAAATTAATGGAAAATTTTAGACTTTATCCCAAGTCTCGTAACATAGTTAATAGACTCATGTATCATGAACATTAATTGTGGTATGGAAATAATTATTGCAAATTAAACAAATATATTGCAGAAAACGAAAAAGAAGAGAATTTTGCACATAAAGCGAATCAAATTGTCACAACAAATATGAATTTGCATTAGGAACTTAACTTCTTAATCCTTCTTCCATGCGTACACCAACAAGGAGAAGCCTCCATTGCTCCCATATGACCTCGTAGATGAAGAACATGATGAACTCCTCCCACAGTCACTGCTCTCCTCCGCCCATTGCAGCACACTTGAGCACGATGGAGATGGTGACAATGTCACCGACGGCATTGCAGCCAATCCCGCCGCAGACGACAAGCTCTTCCTCATTAACCTTTTCTCTGGTCCCACCATTTCAGGCCACACACCGCCATCCCCGACTTGAAAAATGAACACTCCATGTCCATTTCGGTTACCATTTTTATCTGAATCATTCCTGATGTTGTCATCATTATTTACCCAATTGAAAACATCCCAAAAGAATTCAACTTCTACGCCACCCATGTAAATTCTCTCGTTCCCTCTGAATTTCCATCCCAATCTCTTCACAACAAGACTGGTTTCGCCATCCACTTTCACATGGAGCACACCTCCACTGCATTCGATGACTATCTCGTGTTTGGATCCCAAGAAATCAGCTCTAGAAACGTAACTCTTGTGCCCAAATACATGCTCTCTGCGGGACAACAGGGCCGCTTCAGGGATATGGCGGGTCATGACCAATCCAGACCTCCGGATCAACTCGTTCTGAAGATCACCCAAGAAGAATTCGAGCCTGGAATTGCAGGAGATGGCGATGTAGAAGCAGGATTCCGCCTCGGCTGAATTGCGAGTGAACTCTGCTCGAGTGAAGTCCCAGTAGATTTTAATCTTCTGGTAATGGTGGTGAGTTACATGAATGGATTTGGAGCCTGGGCGGTTTCTGAAGAAAGAGAAGGTTGATGGGTAGACGGAGACGGTGAGGGAGAAGGAGTCTGCGGCGTAGATTGTGAGGGAGTGGGAAAAGAGGGTTTTCGACCATGTGAGGGTGAGATATGTTGGTGAGTTGCAGAGCTGAGTTTGGTAAATGCAAGTAATTAGGTTTTGAGGCACTGGAGAGCTGCTTGCTTCTCCTTTGGGGTGACTGAAACACACCGGGATCATGGTGTTCGACCAAATGCCTCAACCAACTAGAGAGGGAAAACCAAAGATGATTTTTGATTAGATGGGAAGCTTGTTTTTGGTTGGTTCAATTTTTCATTGACAGTTTGGCTTTTGAAGCAGAATACAAAGAAGCATACTGAGACCGTGGTGTTCGGCAAAATGCCTCAACCAGCCGGTTAGAGGGAAAAGATGAGCACAAAAGATGATTTTGATGAGATGGGATGGCCTTTATTTATGGATTTTTGGTTTCACTTTTAGGGCAATTTCTTTTCTTTCATCAACATAAACATCAGCAGCAGTTGACTCCCATGATTTACGCCAGAGACGAGGCTGCCTTTCAATCTCTACATCCCTAGGCTAATTAAATTGTGAATTCAGCCCCTACACTTTAATTTGATATGAATAGTCTCTAAAATATCTTGGTTATATTAATCAAGGCCAGACCTTAAACTTGTTATAGATCAAGTAAAAATTTTAAGTGAAATGGTTCTTGAGGGTGTAGAGTTTCGATGATTGGCTCTTATAATTTTAATTACATTTTAAAACAAGGTATGCAATAGATCCGTGATTTGTTTTCACTTTCAATTTCAACAAATTTATGTGTTATTTAAATTTAAATAAAAGTTATAAGAGTTAACTCAAGTAATTGAAGAGTGATTTAAACCTGGTTAAAAATAAAGGTTCAAATACTTTTTAAATACAAACAATTTCAATGAGTTATGTTTGCCAAATCCTTAATGTGAAACTTTACCTATACTTATAAACAAGGTTATTTATAAGTACCAATAAGATTAGTCAAGTATAAGATCCAGATATTCATTTTATTAAAAAAAAAAGATTATCCATTTTTTGCACATTTAAACTTTATCTATTACCTTACATTTTTTAACTGTAAATAGTTTGCGATAAATTATTTCCATCAAACCATTTTTAATGAACTCTCCCTATAGGCTATAGAAATTAACCAAGATATGAGACATGGCTAACATGCATTTTCTACAAATCTGGAAGCAAATAAAGTTTGATTTTGGCTTCCACTAAGATAAAGAAATAGTCCTCTTTAGTGTGTCAATAACAACATTAGATATTTTATAGTTAATCACCCCTTGGCGAATCTCACAAGTGAATCAACAGCATTGTATACATGACCCTCAATTGGCAGACTAAAGATGTTTAGACTTTGGTCGATTTCAATTAAATATTGTGAGGACTAGATCAATATCAATTTAACTTTAGGGACTGATTGAGTATCACACAATAAATATTGGGTTGGAAAGCAAATTTAGTCCATTTCCGTTCCCTCGCTTTCTCTTTCGAGCTGGTTTGCACTGATCCGCACAAAGAGTCAGTCACGACTAACGACTCTACCGAAAAATGATTTATATTTTCGTCTTCTTTAAGGCTCTGTTTAGATTCGAGGAACTCAGAAGCAATTTATAGAAAATTCAAGCAGAAAACGAGTTGACTAGGTCTAAATTTTGAATTCAGAATATAGGGTGTATAGTCAATTATGAGGAATATAATGTGGATTATAAGCCAGGAAATTACTTTCAAACATAATAAAATCCCAAAGAAAATATTTTAATTATATAGTCGACTATGGGTGCCTTTGGGATACAGTCGGGAGTATGTAGCTGTATAATACTTTTAGATTTATATGTATTTGAAAATTTTTTTGAAAATTATTTTTTTTAAAAATTACAGAAAATCATAATAAATTTATAATAATTTTATCTATAACCCAGAAGTCTTATTTTGGAGATTTTTTTGCTGTGGTTTCATAAAAAACACTTAATATTTAATATAATTACAAAATTATCCATTAAAACTTAAGTTTGTATAATTTAATTACATCATAATTTATAATATTTTAATAATTATAATAAATATAAAAACATAAATTTTAAAAAAGTAAATATTATCTATTTTAATAATTATATATATCTTACAATACGTTTTAAATTTTAATTAATAATTAATAAAATATATTATATTTCATAAATAATATTTTTAAAAAATAAATAACTGAACACTATAATAATCTCCAACAACAGTTACAATACTATATGGTACAGTTTAGTATAGTTACAGCTATAGTTACAGTCACAACTACAACTACAGTTACAATATTTCACAGCAATCCTAAACGCGCCTTATATCATGTATATATAAACTTTTTTCATATTAAAAATTACATCAAAATTATTTTATCACTAACTAAACAAAGCTTTTTAATAGATTTGAGTCTTCTAAATTTTTATATTACTTTCTTTTCCTTTCCTTTCTCAGCAGTGGTCCAACTACCTCTCTTTTCTCCCTATATGGCTTTTGATTCATTCTTGTGTTGTGAATGATTGTGTCATGACAAAAATTGGGGAGGGGGGAATGTAAGAACAACTTCTTATGTTTAATAAAACCAAATAAAATGTACCCCTAAAAAAAAAACCAAATAAAAAAAAAATTTAGACAAACAAATTTTAGGAAGTCTATTTGAAGTCATGCTTCCTCATTTCTTCCCCTTCATTATTTAGTTAACCAATTAGAGGAACAGAAAGGAAAGCATAAATATCGTGAGAGGAGAGAGAGCACCAAAAAGGATGGCATTATGGCATCACCTACCTTTCATTTATGTATTTTGCCCTTAAATCATTCAAATAGACAATGAGTCATATTTGCGGAATTTGAATAGTAGAACAAAGGTTATAAGATGAAAGAGGTCTACACTTTTATTTAAGGAACTTCTTGTTTTATAATATTTATTATGCAGTTTAGAGTAGTTTAGAATAGTTTAGAGTAATTTAAAGTGAAAAGCACTTTTTTAAAATACAATTCATGATTCGGAGATGCATGCATTTCAAATAAATAGTCTCAACGAGTCTTAATTTGACTCAATTACGCATCCATCTCAGGTCCTCAAGCAAACTTCAAACTGTCTCTTTATTATAAGGTGAGGTCCATTCTTCCATTATTATCAATGTTTGAAGCTATAAGTAATTGAGAATGATGAGGTGAGAGTCATCAATACAATCATTGCCTCATTTCTCTTTTTCTATAAAATAACTGAAGCAATCACACTGTTTCTGCATGTTGGAGTACCGTTACCTTTCCTTTGCTTCAAATTGATGATTACGCTCTTAATATTGCGCATCTATCATTACAATTTACAACGCAACTTCAACATTCTTTTGATTGGCTTCCTAGAAAAAGATGAGCTAGAAAAGCTGGACTTGCTAATCATCATGAGTAAGCACTTCCTTTAATCCATAACTGATGAGATGAATTAAATGTGATTTTATTCAATTATTAGATACATGATTTAGATTGTTTTTTGCAGATGATGATTGGAATAAATGAAATAAGAAATTTTGAGACTGAAGTGTAAATGTTTTAAAATTTTAGGGACGAAATTGAAGAAAAAGAGAATGTGAAAACAGGGACCATATATTGAATAATGAATACATCCGACATTTAAAGAGTACACAAAAACTGAAAGTTGAAAGGCCCAGCACTGTTAATCTAACTTTGCTGGGTCCAATTTTTTTGACATGGACATATTGTGTCGCCACCTTCAATTCTTTGCATCAAAGGATAGCCCTACCCCCATCCTTACTCATTCTATGACTCAAATTTCAAATTTAAGACTTTCAACATGGATAAATTCAAACTCTTAATTGCTGAAATATTTTTTTGGGGACAAAATTAGAATCGTACTGATTAACTTTAAAACTTATAGTAATAATGTCAAATAAAACAAAGAAAGTTTGCTTTTCATATGTTAAAAATATAAAGTCATTGTCACAAATAAGGATTTGGATGCACCATCAGTTTCAATATATATATATATATATATATATTTTGAACAGTTACAACTTTTTAAGGTAGAGAAAATTTGATCCCTAGCACCATATAGGCTATGGAATGAACCCTCAACCTGGCTCCTAGCCACTTGGCCCAGCAGGCAGGGTTCTGCATGGCGAGGAAAAAAAAGCCGTGTACATGGCCAAGACCCAGAACAAGAAGTCACAACTACAATACTTGGTTAGCTAGAGAGAACCCATTTCATTATTGGGCCAACATAGTGCGATTGGGAGAGAAACTGAGTGAGAGCGGAAGATTTTTTTTTGGCCCGTTAAGGTTTCAATTTTGAACTTTCAATTGTCCCATGGTCCAATATTAGTTATATCATTTATTTTTTCATTTTTAATAATTAAAATTTATTATAATTTTTAAATAAAAAATAAATATCTTTAATAAATATAAATAAATTTTAATTACAAAAAATAAAAAAATAAAAATTTAACATTGATATAAATATAGTATGTAAATTTATATATAAGTGAATTTTTTCTCTTTTATATATATATATGTAGGGTGATTTAATCTCTTTTTGAATTTGCTACACTTTTTCTTTCTTTCTATTTTATTTTTAGTAAGAAATAGGATGAAAATGTTGGTTTGTAATCCCCATTCGATTAACAATTGGATAAGTCATAATCAATTAGCTGAGTTGTCCTAGCTCTTTTAATGGGGATATTTTCATATACTCCGAGTCACATTTTTTTTTTTTTTTTGTCATCTCGACTCATATTTAGTTGGTACTAACAATTAAAAAACAAAAGGGTATTTCCCACATAATGAAGCGCATAAACACACTCACTGACTCACGCAATAATTGTTTCTAGACAAGTATGAACCTTGTCGATAGTAGAACTTGTTTTAATTTGTTTTTCTTTTAGGGAAGTAGGGTATCTCAAGGGCAATTATCACGCATATTTTAAATCAATTATTCAGTTTAGGTGATGTTAATGCCACAATTTTTATTATTAATATTATATATTTTTAATTTTAATTAATTATTATATTTTTTAATTCATTTAAAAGATAAAAAAATTTTGAATAAAAATATAATATAAAAATATAATATTTAGTTAAACTAAAAAATAAAAATATTAACTATTAGAATTGGATGTTTGGATCCAATCTTAAGACGCTTGACTTAGTTGATCCAGATTTTGAATTCCACCAATATTTTGAAAAATTCTCCTCCTCAATTCCTTAAAATTGTAAATAGTTTTAGAAAAAAACATTAACTATTAAGAGTACAGTTATTCAT